TCTCATAAATATATCGCCATCATTAAAATGAAATATCATAGATAGGGAGATTGTACTGCACTGTACACATCCATTCCTCTGTCCTCACATACAGCCATATTGCCTGGAAAGTTTTTCAGATAACATTTAATGATAAGATGTACCATACAACAAAACTTATCTTCAAAATGGAGTCAACAAAGTGAGAGGAAATACATCAATTTGGCCATTTATGTCAGTTCTATTTGCCTCATTTCAATGAAACATGTAACACCATTAACAAAAAAATTTAACACTCTGACATGCCGGTCAAATACAGTACTGTATAATGTTATGCTGCAATAAGAGCTGAGCATTCAAAGTGTGGGCAACTCTGTCCCTAGCCATTGATTTGAATCGGCCTCAGTTGCACAAGCTTGGCCAATCAGGAGGCATCACAATATTCTCTGATTATATTTGTGCCAACCTTTCAAATGTCACTAAACCCCTTCACTATGGGTTTGCATTTCATTTGGCTAACTCCAGAAGATTTATTCAGCTCAGAGGCGATACCGTACACAAAGGGTTAACCACACGTGGAAAAGTTCTACAAGTACACCCGCCATGAGGGGCATTAGAAGTTGACTACACGCCCTGTGCATGTGAAACTTCAGCAGACCTCACGGCCACACCAACATCAACCAGAGACTCCCCACCAGCAATACAAGACTCAAGCCAGATATCTTCAGGTGATGAGTCAGGCAGGCTTACCTCTCCCTCCCAGCAACTCTCCACCCGATCATCTCCCATCCTCAACACACTATCTCAAGATCTATTTTGTCAAGTACCCAAGTACAGTACTGCATACAGTGTACTGCATATATCTTCCAGAAATAAAAAAATCTAGAAGTAGGCAACCCAAAATCTCAAAGCTGTCAGTTTTGTGTTTGTATATTAAACTGCAGTGCTGAAAGGTAAACAAACACTGCACCTGGTAACCTGTACAGTACTAGAACTTGGGGGCCACAAGCACGAGGACATCTACAATATTGTACCTCTACAATTTAGTGTTTTGGGGTAAATTTGTCATGCTACCATATCATTGGCACAAGTTGCATTCAGATTAAACACCAGATACATGTGTTGGATATCTGGCTTTTGTGATAAGCCTGATAACTGGTACAGTATGTGGTAAACTTGCCATTCAGCACATCTCTACATTACATGACAAGTCTTAAGCTTGATTACCTTTAAACAAAGGTAATGGTTAGGTAAGTTGCTTCACTCTCTCTTTTTACAGTTACTTTAATGGGCAATATTCGGTGGATTTGGCATCTCGTGTACCGCCGGCAAGGCCGTGGGCTCGTAACACTGGTCTTGCCCGCGGTGCCCACAGTTTCTGTGGATGTCGTTCACACGAGAATAACCCGTTATAGTACAATCCTTCTTTCCTCACACAGCCAAACTGTGGAATGCTGTGCCTTCTTCTGTGTTTCCACATTCATACAATGTCTCACTTTAAAAAGCTGGTTTTCTGGCATCTTCGTGGTGTAGATTAATATGGTCTTTTTCTTTTCTATTTTTAATTTATTTTTAATCCTATTCCCCCGGCCCTGCTGTGGGTGATGATCTGTGCCCAGGTGGGCTCTTCCCCGTAAAAAAGAAAAAAAAAGTGATTATACCAATTTAATGGCTGAGCAGTAAACTGTGATCTAATACTGTACTTGATTTGGACACACGTGATTATCCTACAGTCACCTGAAGAGTAAGTAAGCTGTGTTACTGAGTACAGTATTGTAGTGTACAGTAAATGAATCTTCTTACCATTCGCCCTCTAGATATTGTACTCAAATGAGTTATTGTTTCATGATACTGTATATGATACATAGAATTAAATTTAAATTTAGTTACCACATAAACAACAACTATCACAGTAACCACAATTAATCCAGACACACTTGGGACCAAGCCCTTGATGTTTTTTTTAATTTGAAGAATTTTCCAATCGAGTGACCTCTAACAATAACGGGACCGAGTAATGTATCATTTTAATGATTGCCAGACTTCCTTTACTTCTGCATGTATTTTCCATCGAAGATGATTCAAGGTACTGTACTGTTCTTATGTACACATGAAGCAATGCGGATATTAGCGACACCCTTAACACGTATGCAAATATCCGTCCATAACGATATCCCCCGAGTCTGTAAAAGAGAATGAACAAAAGCACTAAACAGAAATGGACAAAATCTGAGTAAACAACAGAGCACACGAAACACAGTCTTTAAAACAATGTGCGGTGTTGCAGGAGAGAAGAGAGGTGTGGCTGTGACGTAGAGCCCACACACGATGCTGATTGGCCCAGCCGCCTGCCCAGATCCACCCAGTCAACACCACAGCCACCAGCACTCACCTATTATACTACCCCTCAAATGCATCTAATTTTTTTAAGACTGATGATAATCTGCCATCTTGGGATATTGTTCATTCTCTTCTACACACACTGGAGATATTGTGATCACACATAATAGATTTTCACTAGCAGGATCACAGCTCTTCAAGGAAAAAACTACTGAGAGAGGCTCAAACACCCCAAATTATACTCCCTCCAAAGGCACAGGGAGAGGTATCAAATAATATACACCTGGAGAATCCTTGAGGGGACAGGTCCCAAACACCGGTCCTGAAACTTAATCACAGGATGCAGGGAAGGCTGTGTTATATTGTGGGAAAGTCCAACTACATAAGTCTGAGAACCCTTAGAGATAACAGTTGTAGCAGGACTGGTCCAAAGCTCTTCAATAGCCTCCCCACAGACCTAAGTAACATGTCAGCCTGTATGACGGACACGTTCAAGCTGAAATTAGATGCCTTCATACAGAAAATCAAAGACACATCTCCGCTGCCATCCTACCACACCTGGCCACACTATAATACACTGGCCATGCAAATTACAAGGTGTATGAGACAGTCTGGAGGACACAGCGGCAGATCCTGTAGTAGAGGCCATTTGGCCAAAATCTCCACAAGGTATGACAATGTAAGGTACGGGGGTGCTGGTGGTAGAGTGGTACCGTTCTTGCCTTGCAAGCGAGATGTCACAGGTTCGATTCCCGGGCCGGTGGAAGTTGTTTGGACATACTTCCTAGCCCCCATTAGTCCCTGTTCACCTAGCAGCAAAGTAGGTACCTGGTGTAAGTCGAAAGTTGCGAATTCGTATTCAGGGAAAGTTGTTGGAGCTTCCAATAACTTGACATAAACCATTGACTCTTCAGGCTTCTATGCCCTTGACTCCTCAGGCTTCTACGCCCTTAACTCATGAAACATAAAGGCAAGCATGAACTTAGCATGCTTCCCTGTAGGGCACTGTAAACGCTTCTGCGCTTCACCTTACTCAAGGATGTAGGGGGGTGCCCAATAAATAATAATAAAAAAAAAAGGTAAGGTACCACATCCAGTACATCACTAATATCCACAGTGCCTTATGTTTAACAGGTACAGTGTCTTTGTTTTTCTTTAAATCATTATTAATCGAGGTTCCCACATCAACTCTTCACTGAGCTTCTTTACAACAGTTCTTTTGTCAAGCTTTTTAGCAATTCAACCTTTTTCATCTGATGAGTCATGAATGCTTGTGTTTAGCTGGTCAAGCTCTTCTACAGCACTTGTTGCTCTTTTGAATGACCTTAGGTCATCCTTTTCATCCACACTATGCATGCTTAGTCCAAGTCGCCTGTGTCCACAGGCATTATTTTGAAGTGCTCCAAGAACTATAACTATCAACTTTGTTGTGTTTTTGGTGACATTGGTGGACTATTATTGTAGCCATCAGTTCCAAACCGAAGCAAGGTGGTGTAGTGGCTAAAAGGAAGCGTAGTAGCTATGGGATGGATGTGAAATTAGAAGTTCATGTCTTAAGAAAAGTGGTGAGCAGATCTCAATGAACCACTTCCACTGAAATGAGTGTCAGTGGTTAGGTAGCTTGTGCCACATCAACACACCGACCCCAAACAACTTTAAATACCTTAAATAAGTTGTAAAGTTCAATATTTTCATAAAATAATGTGATATCAAATGTTTAATAAATGTTTCTAAGGTATATATAAATGATATAGGATACCAAATTAAACTTCATAAGTGTCACTTACAATGAGATAGTCCCAATTAGACCTCATTCCTATTCATTCTTATGAGAAATATTTCCCCTTTACAAGTGGTTTCATTATCAGAGGTTTTGTTCTAGTCCCTATTAACCAATTATAACAAGGACCCCTGTACAGTTCATATAAATAAACCAGGTCCATAAGTTATTGAGTGTTGTGATGACTTGATATCTCAGACATCTCCTGCAGGATACACCGGCCGCAACGTCGATTTTTATGAAGTTCCGGGTCTGGCCGCAACTTTGGTAAAATTAAGGTTCGGGTGAGAACCAGAACTTTATGTAGTGGTTACTGTTTCACAAATTAAATATAATTCACTGTTTATGTTTCTTATTTCTATTGGATAATGCAGCATAAAAAAAGACCTGAAATGTTAATGAATATTGATGTATGTGTAGCAAAAAATTTATTATATCTTAAATCACATTTATTGTAATGTACTGTACATGACACCTGATGTATTTAATAATTATAAAAAATGTATAAGTACAGTACAGTATATACAGTAAAGTGATGATAAATTTCTCATGTCCACTGTGAAAAAGAGCTGAAAACACTAAACCTGAGAACCTGCTATATATTATCTTCAATAAACTACTGTAGAAACAAATGGATAACCTTAATGCTACAACACCCTACGTTCCGGCAAGTTCCGGATCATGATTCAGTGCTGTGGTTCCGGTGCAACCCTACAGTTAAAGACAAAAAATCCCATTTCAGATTTGGACATTGTCAACTACATTATCTTAAGCACTGCACAGTAATGGTAAATGCGTTGACAATAATGACAACACGATTAAGACACACAATTGTTATTTTAACACTCCAGTTGTTGAGAATGACAAGCTAATAAACCAAATTATTAGAGGCATATCTCACAGTCCAGTCCTTGCGCAGCTTTCAAATCACGGCCTGAGCTTGTTAACATTATAGCGGTCAACTGTCCAGACACCTATGAGGTTAACGAGGTAGTCGACACAACTGGGAGAGAGAGAGAGAGAGAGCAGCTCATTTCACTTTACTGTTTACATCCTTAAGTGATGTCACATGTTGTCCTGTCTCAGTTGGCAGCACTGCACACACTACTATAAACAGGCACAGTAGTGTAATGTATAACACAAGCCGGGACACACCTCACCTCTTTACTTAACAAAAGACTGTATAAAAGAACTGAAGTTTCTATACTCATGAACATCAATATTACAGTATTATACTCTTTATGTAACCAAATAATTACTCATCTTCAAGTACACTGCTAACATCAACCATAAGCACACTTACCTACAATGTCTACCTAACTTATAAACCCAAAATTAATTCAAAATAGTGAGTACCACGTCTAGACTTAGCCAAATAACTGCAAACTAACTTAGAAACCTGGGACAAGGTTACTTTTTTCTATCTACTTTAGTAAAGGTGAGACATCAAGGTCAGTCTAACATTAATAACTAGGTCCCAATATAACTATAATATAACCTAATTATTAGTTATAACCATAAGATATCTAATAAATAAACAGAAAACAAAAGGTTGAGGAATATGAAACAATACCTGGGTGCTAGGGGGTAAAGGGTGGTGAGGGCCGGTAATTGTCACTGCCACCTTGAATCACCACTCGAGTCACCAATCAGCTGATCACCCCCCCCCCACACTACACCTTATCCACTCTTAACTCCACACCCTCCACTCCCTTCTCTATTTAAAGCTGTTATATACAACTCCCATCAACCCTGAATAGTTTACCTTCCAAAATATCAATCTCTATGTGGTAGTTTTGGAGAACATTAAGAAAACTTGTGATTATCTTAAGGTCTTGGATCCTTGACACACATCGTAAACAAATCCGACGCATAAAGCAGCCCGGACCAGGATGGTTTTAGAGGCCTTTCTTTACTGTTACTTGTAGAGACATTAAAAACCTTTGATGTATCTACTCACCGGCAGGTATAACCAGAGATAACGGAGCGTGACTAAGATAAGGATATCCGGGAGTGTAAAGGTCGTCAAGTCAAAATGGCGAGAACTTCCGCCCAGGCTGAGTGAGCACTTACAAATGTACAAGAGGGAGGAGAAAGGAATGTCCAGTGTAACAGAAAACGGATCATTATTAAGTTTTCTTTCATAATATAATGGTTTACTCTTATATACAGTATAATATAACGAAATACTGTCCTTTTTTCTGTGATGGAATAGGGGACATACTAATGACAGTGAGTGTTCTGAGTGGTAAAAAACAATTAAGTTAACCCATACTGAAATTATAAATGCCCAGTCACCACACATAAGAAAGATAATAATGCCTGATTTAAAACTGTGCAAAAATAAATTGAAATAAAATAAGTTTATTCAGTCGGAAAATTTCAAAAGTTAATTGAAAATAAGTAATATTGAAATTTATGAATCAGAATTGTGAGAACCAAAATACTCTTGAAAATGCATGTCATAAATAGATTTTGAACTAAATGATTACACAGCATATTGTATTACTGGAATCATAGTTGTGTTTGTGAAAAAAAACTACTACTTTATTAGCATCACGTTCGGCATAAGTAATGAACGGTAAAGCAAAAATACTCACAATTAGAACTATATCATATTGGAAAGAAAGCTTCTTATAAGTAAAGATGGTTGTAATTAAAATTTCAATATTTATTCAGTATATATCTTTAAGAGATGATGCAAAGAAATGGATTGTTAGGTGTACTTTTTACCGAGTATATAAGTCAACAAGTAGAAGCTCGGTGAAACATGACCCTTCTACTGACAGTCGGTAAACTAATATTCAGTTTTAAGGCAAGGAAAACAGTATATTTTGGTGAAAATCTAGATATATCTTATATTCACTGTCAGGTGGCTATAACTAAAAGTAGAACTTGGAAGTACACCAAGAAAACAAAATATTGACTCGAAGTAACTAAGTTGGTGATGGGCGAGCTGTCTTTGGGTGTACTCTGGAGAGACTTAAAACCTTTCACTCATTTCCAAAGCAGAAAACATATAAGGATATATGGGTGCAGTGTTGCCGTATAGAAGACTTAATTAATGTGAAGAATGCAGTGATATGTGAATAATATTTTAGTAGTGAACAGAAACTTTGAAATATGAATTATTGGTTTGTGATCGGCCAAAAATTACTGGGATCTGAAACATGGACGCCGTACTTTACCTGATATAAATAATTATTCATTATAATCTGCCAGTTACCAGCGGCTCAAGAAATTCTGATACTGATGAATCTTCTCAACAATAAAGGTTAGTATGATTTAGTAATCTGTTAGATATGTTATCGCCACCCTCGCTCAGTGTTGTTGCAATTATGGGAGGGTGATAAAACCTGTGACCTCGCCAGATGTGTCGCTCAAGCTGGCACTGAGGCGGTATGGGTCAGACCTTTTGAGTGAACACACTAGCCACCACAGGAGTTACTTGGAACGATACTAGGAGTTAAGTGAAGCTATAAGCCCTCACACGTGAGTGAAAGAGCAGTGATTGTTTGTGTTGTGGTGAATTGTTGGGAACTAAGGCATAGTATACAGAATAATGTATCTGTTAACTGACGTATAATGTGTACATATAATGGAATGTAATCAGTAGTTAACCAGTGTCTCATTCTATACAGGTTTTGACCATATCAACCAATAAATATTGAGTGCGTCAAAGTTGTGGGTTTCTCTCACCATTAAAATGTGACGTCATCTAATTGTCGAACCAAGCGGCTAACGAGCCGATCAGTGGTGAAGAGGATAAAAGTGTGTAAAAGTGTACCTGAGAATGTGTTTTGGCTGCAACTTTGGGTAAATTTTTACAAGTGGGCCAAACGTGGGTTTTTTTTTTAGAATGAATTTTGTTTTTGTTTTGGTATAGATAATGTTGTAAAGACATAAATAAATGGTTATTTCCAAAGAAGAAAAAGAATAGGTAAAACTACAATTTCGGACAATGGCTCCCGAGCTGAGCAATGTGTTTTCCGATGGTTTAGACAATTTACGAAAATTTTCTTGCATGACGTTTCCGACGCAAATGACTAGAAAATTACCTAACCGGGGGGTTCCACCCTCCTGGATCCCCAGGTAATATTAGGTCATTTGCGAAGGAAACGTCATGCTAGAAATTTTTCTTAAAATTGTCTAAACCATCAGAAAACACATTGCTCAGCTCGGGAGCCATATTATCCGAAACTACTGTAATACCAACTAAACTAAAAATTACATTTTTAGGTGGAAAATTTTGTTTTTTGGGGGAAGCAATATATTGAATGCTGTCATGATAGGAATGTGGGTTTATATCGTTGAGGGATTGTGCCTCTTTGAGTTTTTCTGATAGGCTTTTGTTCTACACTTGGTAATGAGATAGGCTTGCTCCTACAGTCTGGTTTGGTAGGCCCTAACCTAACCTAGCCTAATAACATAAGAATGGAGGAAACTGCAGCGGGCCTATTGTACCCATACTGGGCAGTCCCGTTTAAACCCAAATCCCATCGCTCATATATCCGTCCAACCTATATTTGAAGCTATCCAGCGTTTGGTAACTTGTTCCACTCATTCACTTATTTATTTTCAAACCAGTGTTTACCTGTTTCGCATCTAAATCTAAATATGTCTAATTTAAAGCCATTGCTAATGAGTTCGCTCCTGGTTGGATAGTTTAAATACTGTACCTTTGTTATATCACATTTGTTTATCCCTGAATTCCATTTATACACCTCGAGCTTGCAGAGCCCCTGAAGATTCTGTTTTGTAAATGCCTGGATGAACAAATGGTCCCCAGTGAATGGAAAGTGGCTTATGTGAGTCCTATCTTCAAGAAGGGCGATAGGCACTCCACGAACAACTATAGACCGGTGAGCCTGACCAGCATAATATGTAAAGTACTTGAGAGTATTATCAGAGATGCAGCGATGGAACATCTACTACGAAACAACCTTGTAAAAGATTGCCAACACGGTTTTATGCCGGGGCGCTCTTGCTTGACACAATTGCTCAAGGTATTAGATATTTGGACCCATATTCTAGAACGGGGTGGTAATATCGACAATATTTACCTAGATTTTGCCAAGGCTTTCGACAGTGTACCCCACGAAAGGCTGAAAATCAAACTGGAAGGGTACGGAATTCGGGGAAATGTCCTAGCGTGGATAGAAGACTTTCTACATGACCGCAAGCAATGTGTGGTGATTAATGGCACGAAATCGTCATCTGTACCTGTAACAAGTGGGGTACCGCAGGGTAGTGTATTGGGCCCGCTGTTGTTTGTTTGTTTCATAAATGATATGCCTGACGTTGTACACTCCTCCATACAAATGTTTGCCGATGACGCCAAGTTATTTCGGGAAATTAAGAACCAAGCGGACTGTGAAGAGCTGCAGAAGGACCTCTGTGGGCTCCAGGAATGGTCGAAGGAATGGCTGCTGAGATTCAATGTCACGAAGTGTAAGAGGATGCACCTGGGGCGTACCAACGGTAAGGAGGCGTACCATATGTCCCAACGGGATGAAGAAAATGTACTAGTTGAGACTGTGTGTGAGAAGGACCTAGGTGTGTATGTTGACAATGAGCTGAAGTTCTCGGGCCATTGTGAGAAGAAGGTAAATCAGGCAAATAAATTATTGGGTCTTATAAGAAGGTCGTTCAGATATCTAGACGGTCCGTCCCTCGTGACGATCTTCAGGAGTGAAGTGCTTCCCCATCTGGAGTACTGTCACCCCATCTGGTCCCCGAGATATGCTAGGGACTGTCAGTTGGTTGAAAATGTTCAAAGGAGGGCCACCAAACTGGTGCCTGCACTTCGGCATCTCAGCTACCCTGAGAGATTGGAGCGCCTGAACTTGCCTAGCTTATACTACAGACGGGCAAGGGGGGACCTAGTTGAGGTTTATAAGCATCTCAGGGGGCACTACTCAGTTGAGTGTCCTTACTTGGAGCTGGCGGACGCTCGCCCCACAAGGGGTCACAGCTCAAGATTGAAGAAGCCGCAAGTCCAGAAAACCGTGAGGGCAAACTTTTTCGGAGTGAGGGTTGTAAACTCTTGGAACAATCTACCAGAGAGTGTTGTGACGGCACCGAGTGTGAGCTCTTTCAAGAGAAGACTTGACCAACACTGGAGCGGGTTCAGGTACATTCAGGAGCCGGTGCATGCCCAGTATTTGCCAACAGTGCGTGACAGAGACGTGACTGATCGCCCGGGCGGCTAGCCAGCCGACCTTTTGGTGAAGAATATAAAGGAAAAGAGACGTGACCGATCGCCCAAGCGGCTAACAAGCCGATCAGTGGCGAAGAGGATAAAAGTAAAAAAAGTAAAGTAAATGCTTTAATCTGTACTCTCTATACTAAAGGTTCCTAATGCCCTGGATTAGTTTTGTCATCCTCATCTATATGTTTTCTTGGGATTCAATATCCATTCTGTAGTGAGAGTTGTGAACCCGTGGAACAACCTGCTGTACTGCGCACATCATTGTCAGCCGTAATATCTCTTCAATTCATATTACGCTACATACAGTAGGTGAGTTATCCCTTACGAAAGTTTCCTAATTTCTCCCGTTTTCTGTGACACTACAAGCGCGGTGGATTTGAATGTAATTTTTTTTACTTTTATCCTCTTCACCACTGATCAACTCGTTAGCCGCTTGGGTAATCGGTCACGTCTCTGTTAGTTTTCTTTTTCTTTTATCCTCTTCACCACTGATCGGCTCTTTAGCCGCTTGGGCGATCGGTCACGTCTCTGTTACGCACTGTTGGCAAGTACTGGGCATGCACCGGCTCCTGAATGTACCTGAACCCGCTCCAATGTTGGTCAAGTCTGGTCTTGAAAGAGCTCACACTCGGTGCCGTCACAACACTTTCTGGTAGATTGTTCCAAGAGTTCACAACTCTCACTCCGAAAAAGTTTGCCCTCACAGTTTTCTGGA